CTTTTTGATTTAACTTTGAATATGTAAAACATACATGACTTCAAAGTGAAAACTATAACCAATTATATTCAAATATGTCTCACTGCCATCCATATATTCTTCTCTGCATTAGTCCTTTATGGGTAATCATTTTTATTCACTTTATGATTTATTCTTTTAGTGTTTACTTTTGAAGATAATCATATGTATGTGTGTATGTTCCCCTTTCCACTTTCTTTACACAAAAGGTTGCATATTATACTAGTTTTCTATAAAAAAAATTATTTTTAAAAGTTAGCTCTATTAAAGTATAACTTAAGTTCATTAAAACTCAGCAACTTTGTGTAATCTGAGTTTTTTAAAAATATATTTCATTGATTTTTTACAGAGAGGAAGGGAGAGGGACAGAAAGTCAGAAACATCGATGAGAGAGAATCATCGACCAGCTGCCCCCTGCACACCTTCCACTGGGGATGTGCCTGCGACCAAGGTACATGCCCTTGACTGGAATCGAACCCGGGACCCTTCAGTCTGTAGGCCGACGCTCCATCTACTGAGCCAACCCGGCCAGGGCTAATCTGAGTTTTGACAAATACATACAGTTGTATAGCCGCCAGTGTGGAAAAGGTATAGATTGCATCATCCCCCCAAAAAGTTTCCTTTTACTCTTTTGTAGCCGATCCTCTGCCCCACCTTTCTGGTCCCTGGTAAACCACCTGTCTGCTTGCCAACACGGCGTCTGCCTTTCCTAGAACCTCATACATAGTTCTGCGTGTGTGCATGTGGCTTCTTTCCCTTGGTGGAAGATTCAACCATGTTAGTACATGTACTGGAAGTTATTCTGAGTAGTGCTCCATTGTCCGTACATTTTAGTTCATAACTATTGCCTTTTTGAAAAGTTTTTATTTTGAAATAACTTTATTTATTTGATTATTTTTATTTTTGGGGGTGTGTGGTAAAGAAGGAAACTTTAGTCAGTACAAAACAGCTCAAAGAGGCTTTTTAGGTCTTGCTTTCTGTCTTGTTCTCTCTCATTTCTAAAACCAGCAGGCAGATCCGGTTGCCCGTTCAGGGTTCCCAGTCTTCCTCCAGTGTCTTTTAACACTGCCCCCCCGCCCCCCGCCCCCAAGCATAGGTGTGACATTCTGGCTCCCTTCTCTACTTTTTGGTGCTGATCACCACGCACCCTAGGTCGTGCTAATTCCTGTTCTACTCATTCAAAAGCAACTCCATTAGATACAATTTTCCTTTTGAGGGGAATATCCCAGGAGTTTCTGCCTACCTTCCCTCTCTCCCGAGCAGAAACCTGTTTTGTTTGAGTAGGAGCATTTTGAAGGTGTAAAGATTCTGCGTAACGGCACAACCCATGAAATATGTCAAAACAGGGTCTCTCGAAGTGTGTTTCACAGATCAGGAGCATCAGTATCTTCTGAGAACTTGTGAGAAATGCAGATTCTCGGGCCCAGGTGCTCTGTGGGTGGGGTCCAGTGATTTGCGTTTTAACAAGCCCACCGGGGAGTCTGAGCACCTATGCTTCAAGGATGCTTAAATAGGTACTGGGGTCCTACTGTGGGCCTGAACTTTCAGAAAGGGACTGAATGCTTGAGAGACAGCTGCCCAGCAGGGTTATTTGCTGTCATTAATAATACAAGAAAGTATATGTACTTCTATGCTGTGTGTGTGTGTGTGTGTGTGTGTGTGGCATTGGTATAGACAAGCCGTGGGTAAACTACGGCCCGCGGGCCGGATCCGGCCCGTTTGAAATGATAAAACTATTGAAAAAAAGACCGTACCCTTTTTGTAATGATGTTTACTTTGAATTTATATTAGTTCACACAAACATTCCACCCATACTTTTGTCCCGGCCCTCCAGTCCAGATTAAGAAACAAATGTGGGCC